ATCAACATACCTAAACCTGGGAAAGACCCAAGGTTCCCCCAAAACTACAGACCCATAAGCCTGTTGACGGCATTGAGCAAGATTGCGGAAAGGGTAATCGAACGAAGACTGAAGAACGAAACCGAAGAACTCCGAGTAGTTCCAGACGAACAGTTCGGATTCCGATGCGAGCATTCAGCAGAGCACCAGGTCCTAAGGCTGGTCGAGATGGCAACGAAATCGTTCCAGACTCGGCGGGCCGTGGGAGCTGTGTTCATGGATGCCGCAAAGGCGTTCGACACTGTTTGGCATGACGGACTGATCTACAAGATGGTAGACCTCGGATACTCAAAGGGGATGATCCAACTGGTGAAGTCCTACTTGAAGCACCGAAAATTCCGAATTAGGATCGGTAAAACAACTTCGACGACGAGGACTGTGGAGGCAGGAGTACCGCAGGGAGCGGTTCTATCACCCCTGCTGTATGCAATCTACAGCTCGGACATCCCGAAGACTCCTCAAACGCAACTGTATGTGTATGCGGACGATACAGCATATGCGGCAGAAAGTACGAGACCCCGCATGGTTACGGAATATCTGCAACGAGCGACCACCAACCTAGAGGAATGGTGCATCAAGTGGAAAATCCGCCTCAACCCCGAGAAGACCGAAGCGGTACTGTTCCGAAGAAATCGAAGATTACCTCAGACCAAAATAAAGATGACGACCACCAGAATGGAGAGAGGCTGGAGAAGAGATGAAGAGGTTGAGGTCGACTGGAAAGACTCCAGCACATACCTTGGAGTCAAGATGGACCAGAAACTCACTTGGAAGAACCATGTCGAAGACCGGGTGCAGAAAGTGAAGATGGCACGCTCCAAACTAAGACCCTTAACGGGCAGAAGAAGCAAAGTGTCACTAAAGAATAAGACCATCATGATTCAGATGGTGCTGCTACAAATCATGACTTACGCAGCAGTAGCTTGGGGCTACGTTTCCAAAACGATGAAGAAGAGGCTCCAAGCTCAACAAAACATGGCACTCCGTGAAGCGGTGGACGCACCGTGGTATGTACCTAACAGAGTGCTATATGACGAACTACGACAGGTACCGGTCGTAATCCAGATGAAAGAGAGGGCCCGAAAGTTCTTTGAAAAGAACGAAAGACATCGAAACGTGCTGATTAGAGACGCCTTGGATTACGACCCAAGAACAATAAGGCGTCACAAAAGACCGAAAAGCCAGCTGCAACAAGAAGATATTTGGCCCTAGCAGCTGATGAGGCCAAAGAAAAGGGGAGAAGACCGACAATAGTTGTACACCCAAGAGGGGAAAGAACAGCCCGTGTACAACGGGTGGACAAAAAGAAGCCTGTCGATTGAGGTGGCCAGAGTCAAGCACGGACTCGGGGCTAACCTCAGGAGACGAATGACTTACAAAAATGACTGACTGACGACGACTGACTGACTCCAGTCGACGAGGAAAGAGCGAAGGCTCACCAACCTTTAGGAGGGGCTTAGGTCAAAAGCCCCCAGCGCAGGACCCCCAAGAAAAGAGGCCGTCCATAAAGTCGAGAACCGACAGTTGGAAGAAACGTCCACCACGCGCTTCCGCGACGCGTGCGCGATCGAGTCAAATTTCGGGAAAAAGGGGCAAAATTGGGGAAGGGGGGATAGCTCGTTCGGCAGCACACACTCGGGGAATGCGCAAGCGGCCTGAACCACGCAGCGCCACTCCAGGCCTTTGGGCGGGAGTGGGGGGAGGAGCAGATTGCTCTTCCCCCCACTCCTCAAGGGTTTGAGGTTGCCTGGAACAGGGGTGGTGGAGGGACCGCACAGGGTAGGAGGGTGTGTGTGTGTGTGTGTGTGTTTACCTCCGCTCACTATAATATTGTCCGTTGCAATATTCACGTCGCTGCTATATAGATAATTTATATTCAGTTATCTGAAATTTAACGTAATGGCGCGTACCAAGCAGACGGCTCGTAAATCCACCGGAGGTAAAGCTCCCAGGAAGCAATTAGCCACGAAGGCTGCCCGTAAAAGTGCTCCTGCTACTGGCGGAGTTAAGAAACCTCACCGTTATCGTCCGGGAACTGTGGCTCTCAGAGAAATTCGTCGTTATCAGAAAAGTACCGAATTGTTGATCAGAAAATTGCCTTTCCAACGGCTGGTCCGTGAAATAGCGCAAGATTTCAAGACCGATTTGCGATTCCAAAGTTCTGCTGTAATGGCACTCCAAGAAGCTAGCGAAGCGTACCTGGTCGGACTATTCGAGGATACGAACTTGTGCGCGATCCACGCTAAGCGAGTAACGATCATGCCGAAAGATATACAGCTGGCAAGACGTATTAGGGGCGAACGTGCCTAATGGAATTGACGGATTTACTATTTGCCGGAAAGAGAGAGAGAGAGAGAGAGAGAGAGTACGGCGTGCGATAATAGGTTATAAAAAAAAAAACGGTTCTTTTCAGAACCATCATATAGTATGTTCAGAAAAAGGGGATCGTGTATTATGTTAAGTATATCAGATTGTTGTTTGTACGCGTGCAATTTCGACACTATTATCGTGTATGCAAAATAGCGCTAAATGGTTATACGATAGTCGCTAGTTATTACCCGTTATCCTATATCGAAGGATTGTGGTGCTTTGTAGTAAACCGTTACATTGATATTATTCTAATAACGTACGAATTGTATGTATGTGTATGGAAGTAAAATAACTTATAAGTAGCATGTGATTATAATGTAGATAATTCGACATAATATAGATATTTTGCCGTATATATTGCTTAGGCGTTTAGGCAGGCTGTTAGCGTGTAATACGTAACATTAGGTACTTTCACGTAGATCAAAAGTCAGTAATGCGTACGTCTAATAATTAATATGTAGTAAGAGATGAATTTATAACTCGATCGCTCGTATATTATATATAATATTTTTCTACTCTGGCTTATTTATTACGAATAATAGATTGATGTCTCATATTATTATCTATTTTGTCATATTACAGGAGTAATGTTAAAATTATCGCGATATATTTCGCGACTGTGCACGTTCGGATGTACGCCAGACATACCTCCGTATAATTGCGATTATCTAAAATACCTTATCCATTAGCCGTATACCGACAGTATAATTGTATTACGAATAGTCGTAGATTGTTAATTTCATGAAATATCTAATTATATAACGTATTCGTATAATATAAATTAGATCAAAAAGCCGGACGATTAGGTCCAAAGCGGATACCTTGCACGTTTCACCTTATAATTTTATCGTGTACGTAGCGTACGTGATCAAGTCGCGAAGTTAAATGTGTATTTCAAATTATGCAGATTTCATATTCGTTCAGGTTTTAGCTGTTGCTCGTATGCAATTATATCAGCGACTCAAAAAACCAACAGATACGACCGCAGGCTTGGCAGAATTGAAGCCGTCGAAATCGGTTTCGCTGCAAAGTCGGAGCGTTCAATGTTCGGTCCGACCGAAATGACTTGGGTCACGACGCTGAATTTACCTCTCACATTCATTCGACATTCGTTCTCTTAGCGAGATCGTCGATCAGTGATTGCAAAAGATCGCGCGTATACAATAATCTGTCTCCTCTTCACGACTCGTAAACATGGCAGATACGGAAAACCAGAATTACGCCGCGTCGGCTACGGCTACCGCGAATTCTGCGTCGCCGACGTCGCAGTCGTCTGCGAAAAAGGAGAAAAAACCGAAGAATCCGAGGGCGAAGCCGTCTCATCCTCCTACTAGCGAAATGGTCATCAACGCAATTAAAGGATTAAAAGAGCGTGGCGGGTCGTCTCTGCAAGCTATCAAGAAATACATAGCCGCTAATTACAAAGTAGACGCTGAGAAAGTTGCGCCTTTCATCAAGAGGTACTTAAAATCGTCCGTCGCGTCTGGAGCTTTAGTACAGACGAAAGGCAAAGGAGCTTCCGGATCGTTCAAGCTAGCTTCGTCATCGGCTGGCGGAGCGTCGAAAACTTCATCATCGTCAGCCGCAAAGGTTGGCGAAAAGAAGAAGAAATCCGCGACCGGCTCAAAGAAGAGCGGAACCGTAGCTAAGAGAGCTAGCGGTGCGAAATCTGCGAAGAAGGCATCTCCGAAGGCTAAGAAACCGGCGGTGGCCGGTGGTGCGGCCGAGAAGAAAGCTTCTCCAGCTAAGACAAAGAAAAGTGGGAAATCGGCGACGTCGGCTAAAGCTTCTTCTGCTGCACCTTCTGCAGCGGCTGCAAAAAAATCTCCTTCGAAGGCGAAGAAATCCAGCAAGGGAGCTCCGACCAAGAAGCCAAAAGCACCAAAACCGAAAACGGCGAAGGCTGCAACATCGCCAAAAAGGAAGGCCGCTTCACCCAAAAAGAAGAAATAAAAAAAAAAATTTAGACGTGTTGCAACGTCGTAGATTACGGCTACGTCGGTTCGAGACGTTATATTTATGCGAGAGGATGCTATACGTCCCCGCGGATTGAAAATGGCCCTTTTCAGGGCCACCACTATTACTATAAAAAGGATACAGAATATTTACGAATTAGCAATTTTGTATCGAAATATACATGTACAACTGCGGCTCGTACGTGCGTTGATGTTTTTTTTTTTTTTTTTTTTTATTAAATTCGAGTATTATTCGTTTACGATTAGGTATTTATAAGCAAGTGGTAATGTTAGGCGTCGTCACCATCGATATTTGCTTTTAAGGGTATAAATAAGTATGTATTGTGTTTAATTAAACGAATGAACGTTAAACAGTCGATTGCGTCGTAAGGATATCCCCTTTTTTTACGCTTTCGTTTACCATTAAATAATCCGGTCGGGTCTTATATCAGACGTTATTGCTTTAGTGGTGTATGTATATCACGAATAATCATCTGGTATTCAAGTACCAATAATATATATGTTGCGCGTACGGTGATATCATTATCTTTACTTGATAACTTTAGTGGTTCTGAAAAGAACCGTTTTTATGTTGTAAGTTGTTGTTGATGTTGTTGTTGTCGTCGTAGTTACATATTACTTCGAACTGGTGTACTTGGTTACGGCTTTGGTACCTTCGCTGACGGCGTGCTTGGCCAATTCTCCTGGTAGCAATAGTCGAACGGCTGTTTGAATTTCTCTGCTAGTTATCGTGGCACGTTTGTTGTAATGTGCCAATCGGGATGCTTCCGCTGCGATACGTTCGAAAATATCGTTGACGAAGCTGTTCATGATGCTCATCGCTTTGCTGGAAATACCGGTATCTGGATGTACCTGCTTCAGCACTTTGTAGATGTAAATTGCGTAGCTTTCCTTCCTCCTGCGTTTCTTTTTCTTATCAGACTTGGAAATATTTTTTTGAGCCTTACCGGCCTTTTTAGCTGCTTTACCGCTAGTTTTGGGTGGCATCGCGTTTCGATTTACACAAAAAGTACGATCTTTACTGACACAATATCGTGATCTATAATGGAAAGGTGTGCGGATAAACGGCGAGCTTTAACAGCCACGACGTTACCGACATAGACTCCGCCCCTTACGGGTGACCGACAAACGAAAACGGTGATTGGTCGGAGTAGTTATATAAATATACTCGTACCTAAAGACATTGCCATTCTATTCTATTAATTCGGTCAACGACAGCAGATTGTAGTCGTCGATTCGCAAGTCAAAAAAGAAAATAATAAACAAATAAACATGTCCGGACGAGGAAAAGGCGGAAAAGTGAAAGGAAAGGCAAAATCCAGGTCTAGTAGGGCCGGTTTGCAATTCCCTGTAGGTCGTATACACAGATTATTGCGTAAAGGAAACTATGCCGAACGCGTCGGTGCCGGAGCTCCTGTGTACCTTGCCGCCGTTATGGAGTACTTGGCAGCCGAAGTGTTAGAGTTGGCCGGCAACGCTGCTCGCGACAATAAAAAAACCAGGATCATTCCACGTCATCTGCAGTTAGCAATCAGGAATGATGAAGAATTAAACAAGTTACTTTCCGGCGTAACTATCGCCCAAGGCGGAGTTCTTCCGAATATTCAGGCTGTCCTATTGCCGAAAAAGACAGAGAAGAAAGCCTAAATAATAATAATAATAAGAAAATAACGTCAAAACTAGAAATCGGCCCTTCTCAGGGCCACACAATTCGTTTGTTGAAGAAAAAATAGAGATCATCGGATCAGGAAACAAAAAAAAAATCACGTAATATTTTGCCGATATTCCTTCATGCTGTTTGGGATTCAAGTAACAACAGCCCAATAACCGCATGATACAGTGTGATGTTACGTTTCTACGATACGGATCGTGACATGGAAAATGCAACAAATAATACCAATTCTTACTTACCGTAACATTTTATGTTTACCTAGCATCGATGGGTTGTGGAGCTCGACTATATGGAGATACCTTGGAGGGATAGTTACTTTCTAGAGGTACTGTCGGAATGATAGAACTTTATTCCAACGCAATTTTACATACAATGCCGCTAGTGTCTATAACGACAATCACGTTAACTCTCCCTCTCCCCCCCCCCCCCTCTCTCTCTGTCTCACACATTGCTCTTCCCCCCACTCCTCAAGGGTATGAGGTTGCCTGGAACAGGGGTGGTGGAGGGACCGCACAGGGTAGGAGGGTGTGTGGTGTGTGTGCGCGCAACATCAGTTCCGAGCTAGCAGCCGTTGCGAGTGTATACTTGCACGACTGCGACACACCCGGACATATTGAGCAATCTTATTGCGATAGATTGGTTGTTTGTCATTTACGATGGCGAAAATTGAGAAGCTGGCTAACCAGCTGAAAGAGAAGAAAGATGCTGTCGCCATGCTGGCAGAGCAGATGCGAAACCTGCAAGAAGCCTTCTTGCAAGCACAACAGGAGATCGAGGACCTGAACGGGAAGCTCCGCAGGGCCACGAAGAAGGCCGCAAAGAAGACCGAAGAAGGCGAGGCAGAGGACCACCAGGCTACGTCGGACGAGATGGACGCTCAAGAAGAGGACACCCAACGGACCGAAGAGGATAGGACCACGACAGAGACAGCAAGCAACGACGACACCGATTTCAGTGTCGCCACCAGACGGAAAAAAAAAAGCGGGTGCGAATTTCCTCCTCCGAAGACGAGACGCCAAGGCAGCCAAAGATGCCAGCTGCCGCCACCAAGAACGAGTCCTAGAGCAGCCAGGACCGCCGATGCAAACATGTGCCAACTGATCCAGAGCTATCTAACACAAAGACGGTTCGCGGTGAGGATTGGTACATGCCATTCAACACGACGACAGCTGGTAGCAGGCGTGCTCCAGGAGTCAGCCTCAGTCCCCCCTGCTCTACAACATCTATACTCATGACGTACCGAAGACAGCTCACACAATGCTGGCCCTATATGCAGATGACATTGCTATCGCCGCTAAGCATCGACGACCCGAGATTATCCGTAGCAGACTACAGGATGAACTGGACTGTTGCGTGAAATGGAAAATCCGTATCAACGTCCAGAAGACGCAGGCAATCTTCATCCAACGAAGAAGGATTGCAAGCCCTCTCGAAGCATCCATCATCGACGAAGATATCCAGTGGAGCGACAAGGTCAAATATCTGGGGATCGTATTTGACAAGTCCCTCACCTGGAAAGACCACACATAGAAGCTGTCATCGCAAAGACCAGAGCAGCCATGGCTCAACTCTACCCAATACTGGGTAGACACAGCCGGATGCCGCTAGCGACCAAGCTACGGCTGATCAAGGCCATCGCCAGACCTCAGCTCGCTTACGCCTCCGCGGTCTGGGGGTACGCTGCTCTAGAGATGAAGCTACTCCGGATCGCCACCAACCGATCCATCCTACGTAAGAAACTCAACCTTGCGTAGAGACCTGCATTGGGACACCATTCACGAGTACATGAGGAAAAAAGCGGAGAAGACCTTCCAGAAAGCTCAGGACCACCCTAACGAGCAGCTACGATTCCTCATGAACTACGATCCGGACGAGAGGCATCGCAACCGCAGAACCAGGTACCCTAGACCAAGGTCCCAGTTGGCACCCGCTAGTTGGAACCTTGACTAGGAGACTAGGAGAACCCGCGGTTGCTGCAACATCAAAAGTATCTGAAAACCGTCCTGTAGCCGCGACATCCCCGACTGGTACTAGAACAACCCGACGACAGAACTGGGTGGTCGGGGTCAGTGTGTCAGGTCGGTATGCAACCTGCAACCGACGGTCACGGTCACGCGCGTAGAGGTAAACGAACCGGTATAATCGATTGCGTTTCAATAAAAAACAACGAGCACTAGAGACGTGGCTAGAGAAGTGCAAGTATCAAAAACTAAAGTGTGGCAAGCGCTGCGTGAAGAGGGGCTGTATCCGTTTCACGTCTAACGTGTACAAGCCCTTCAACCTGACGATTTTCCAGCAAGAGTGCGGTTTTGTGAGTAGTTGTTGCATCAACATGACAATAATCCGGACTCTTTGAAGTGCATATTCGTGTGACAGACGAATCTATGTTCACGCGTCGGGCACATTTTCAACAAACATTTTCGGTGAATGATAGGGCTGGCATGGTGAACGGTATGCTCATTGGACAATTTATTCTCCCAAATCGATTGGACGGGATGCAATACCTAGACTATTTACGCAACATTTTACCTTCCTTGTTAGCCTACGTCTGCTCGGTAGCGCATCAGCTGATTTCATTTTCTGTTGGAGCGGTATGATTTCTGGCAGAGACGTACTTAGCCCTTCTGGTCAACTGGAGAGAGAGTAATTTCACCAATATTTTTTTATTTACTCGGTCGTTGTCGTTTCACTACACATTACCTTTGTTATTTCAAGGGTAGTTGTTTCTGAAAAGGAAAACCCCAACTTCGCGGACATCCCGTATATGCCGCATCCGCGTCGCTCACCGAGGCGCGCTCTATCGCGTCACACCCGTTATTAAGAGAGGCACATCTACTCCCGTCGTTTACCCGCGCCCAGTGCAGCGAACCGAGTCGTGGCGTATCAAAGAATCAGATATGCGGCACCCGCGCCTCAGCCCGAGGCGTTGTTGTCAACCGCGTTACGGCCCTTATTAAGAGAGGCACATCTACTCCCGTCGTTTACCCGCGCCCAGTGCAGCGAACCGAGTCGTGGCGTATGAAAGAATCAGATATGCGGCACCCGCGCCTCAGCCCGAGGCGTTGTCAACCGCGTTACGGCTCTTTATTAAGAGAGGCACATCTACTCCCGTCGTTTACCCGCGCCCAGTGCAGCGAACCGAGTCGTGGCGTATGAAAGAATCAGATATGCGGCACCCGCGCCTCAGCCCGAGGCGTTGTTGTCAACCGCGTTACGGCCCTTATTAAGAGAGGCACATCTACTCCCGTCGTTTACCCGCGCCCAGTGCAGCGAACCGAGTCGTGGCGTATGAAAGAATCAGATATGCGGCACCCGCGCCTCAGCCCGAGGCGTTGTCAACCGCGTTACGGCTCTTTATTAAGAGAGGCACATCTACTCCCGTCGTTTACCCGCGCCCAGTGCAGCGAACCGAGTCGTGGCGTATGAAAGAATCAGATATGCGGCACCCGCGCCTCAGCCCGAGGCGTTGTCAACCGCGTTACGGCCCTTTATTAAGAGAGGCACATCTACTCCCGTCGTTTACCCGCGCCCAGTGCAGCGAACCGAGTCGTGGCGTATGAAAGAATCAGATATGCGGCACCCGCGCCTCAGCCCGAGGCGTTGTCAACCGCGTTACGGCTCTTTATTAAGAGAGGCACATCTACTCCCGTCGTTTACCCGCGCCCAGTGCAGCGAACCGAGTCGTGGCGTATGAAAGAATCAGATATGCGGCACCCGCGCCTGAGCGCGAGGCGTTGTCAACCGCGTTACGGCCCTTATTAAGAGAGGCACATCTACTCCCGTCGTTTACCCGCGCCCAGTGCAGCGAACCGAGTCGTGGCGTATCAAAGAATCAGATATGCGGCACCCGCGCCTCAGCCCGAGGCGTTGTCAACCGCGTTACGGCCCTTTATTAAGAGAGGCACATCTACTCCCGTCGTTTACCCGCGCTTCATATAACCGAGAGGCGCAGGTTTTAAAAGAGAGTCATTGAACGTAGTCGAAGCCAGCCTCTAAAAAAAAAAAAAAATGGACGAGTGCTGCTACCATAGAGAATTGTGTAAACGTACAACATGGAAAATTTTTTGATAAAAAAAGCCGTTACCGATCGATAAAAATAACATATGTATATACATATAATAACGGCGCGCGGGCGCGCGCGGTATTATATAAAATACACATTTATTTATCGACCGATAACGGCATATATATATATATATATATATATATATCATGTATCATGTATCATCATCGGGGTCTCGTCTCATCGACAAGACGAATCCCCAAGCTAAGGGCTGAGTCTCAATAGATCGCAGCGTGGAAACTGCTCTACCAG